AAATCCAAACTAATCCAGTCCCCCTCCCTCATTCTCAGACTGCTGGGGATACCCTTCTAATCCTGATCTTGAAAGGTTGCCCAGCTTCCCAAGTTAAGAATATCTTCTTGAGGTCCCGCTTCTTTTTCCTAGCTGTCAGCCTACTTGGCAGCCCAAGAACGGCTCTCACACATGAGCTTCCCTCTCTGCCCACTGCTGCTAGAGTTTAGATGTGATTCTTAGAGGGTACCAAAAATCAGAATGTGTCCTGGTCAAAACCTAGAGGAATCATTTCAACTCATGCCCTCTCTGTCTATCCTATGATTTCAGACCTTCGATACAGTCTTGCACTTTGTAAATATTTAATTTTGGTTTTCATGTTCCAAAGTTAAGAAAAATGAGCAGTGACAAATGGCACTAATAGTCCCTTAGCAGTAGTGAGCAGTAGTGAGCAGTAGTGAGCAGCTCCTACCATTCTGCTGAGGGTGGGTAACTTGTGACTTGTTAGGTCCACTACAAGTGGGTCTTCTGAGTTTGAAAAGAAGTTGAAAACAGGGATGATGCTGATATGCTATCTTCCAGCTTCTGAATATTTTTACAGAAGCACTTGTAGGCTTTGAGGCCTCATGGCCCACGTGCCTATTAGTCTTTAGCCCCTGGTTCAACACATCACCTCTTAACTGGACTTCTGCCGTGGTCCTGGACCCCCTGTCTTATCTGGAACAGCTTTTGACATCTCCCTGCAAGTTACAGCTTCCATCCCTGAAGTCTTCCCTTTGAAGAGGGCTCTGCTGGTCACATGACAAGATCAATCCCACCATGTTGCCTCTGAGGTCTTTCTCATCCTGACTTACACACCATGCTAATCTCTGACCAGTCCCAAAACATTTTTAAATTAAGAGACTATTTTAAAATAGTGATAGAGCTATGAAAATATTGTGTACAAGAATTTCCATGTGTATTTCTCTCCTCCAACTCTGTTCTATTAGTATTTTCATTAGTGTGGTACAATGTTACAATTAGCCAAGCACTATTGAATAGTAAATACCTTTTAAAGATTTTCTTAAATTGTATGTATATATGTGAGCATGCATGTGTCCATACCTCTGTGTGTGTGTGTGTGTGTGTGGAAATGGTATTAGATACTCTGGAACTGGAATTATTTGCAGTTGTGAGACTCTATATCATTGATAGGATCTTTCTTTTTTCTTTCAAAATCAGTCTCTTGACTCCAGCAAGTTTCTTTTCCTTGACAGATAAGAATATCAGTCCTTTTATAGTGACTTCTTTGAGTTTATTTTCAGAATAGAGTTAATAGGGAAGAAACAGACAACATACGTACAACAGAACCCACATTTTTATCAGGAATGTAATGTATGCCAGTTGGGGTGGGGTGTGTGTGTGTGTCTGTGTGTGTGTGTGTGTGTGTGTGTGTGTAAATAAACATTATATCTCTCTGGTCACAAACTGCAGAAGTACCTCTGTTCCCATTAGTGCTACCTTCTGAAGGCTCAATTACTGTCAGCTGCAGGCTAAAAATATTAAACTTCAAACTGGGTGTTGTGACACTGCCTTTAAATTTAGCACTGAGGAGGAAGAGGCAGGCAATCTCTGAGTTTGAGGCCAGCCTGACCTACAGAATAAGTTCCAAGATGTCCAGTACTACACAGAGAACCCCTGTCTCAAAAATCCAAAAAAAAAGGGGGGGGGTCCCAAACATGAAGTTAATTTTAAGAAATTTTTATTATAGTATATTATTGATTTCTGTTTTATTTCTCTTTTGTTGTGATTAGTTTGAAAGTTAAACTTTTTATAGATGTGTATGTGTATATAGGAAAAATATAGTTATGTAAGGTTTATATTAACCAAGGTTTCAGATACCCATCGGTGCCTTGAAATATTTTCCACAAAGGGGGCCACTGAGCTGACAATATGATTCAGCCAAGCCAAGTTTGACATCTTAAATTCCATCACCAGAACTGATCCCCAAAATATGTCCCTTGACCTCTACACATGTACCATAGCACACACACGCACAAATTAGAGTAATAATCAGTTGAAAAGACAGAAGAGAGTACCATCTCTTAACATAAGGAAACAGATGTTAACTTAGTTGGTCAAAAGATATATAGCTAGTGCCTTGGTTTACAACCATGTCTGCTTGCCCTCAGAGTGTGAGCCATGTGATTGGAGTCTTCCCATTTGTCTAGCCTTGCTGTCTCCATCACATCAGGAGTCATAGGAATTGAGGAGAATGGTATCATTCAGCTATGTGTCTACCCTGAACACAAAGTTGGTACCTACTGCAATGTACAAGCTCCATGAGAATATACCTGAGACAGTTACTGTCAGTAGAGACACTAAACACCAGCATATGTTTCATTCAGTGCTGCTGAGTTCCTACCATGTACTGGCCTCACAAACGTGGAAAGCCAGGCAAGTGATATCACTAGCATGCGGTATCAGGGAGGCTGCTGGGTTTTCACTTCTCTAGTCCTCATGACTAGAACACAACCTGGGGGGGGGGGGCGGGGGACTGCTTGGTCTGTGCTACAGATCCCAGGACACTATCTGGTAATAACATTTGCTTGATAAGTATTTGTGGACTGGATGTTTGAACACTGTTGTAAACTTAGGGCCCCTAAACTGGTGGTATGCTTGTCAGCACTTTGGTGTGTCTAATGAGTCCTGCTCCGTCACTGACTAGCCTGGCAGCTCGAGCTCTATGATTGCAGTTTGCAAGTTATCCCAGGCCCTGGTCTAACCACACTCAGTACCAACACTGTAGGCAAATGCAGAAGGAGAGAAGAGTGGCCTTGTAGCTTTCAGCCCAAGAACTGAGAGACAAATGGCTCCTTCCAGACCTCCCTGAACTTCACACTGAACGATTACCTCGTTTTTCTCGAGTCCAGTGTTTCAAATGTCATGTGAGGATGGTTGTGCATAAATATTTTCATGACTGTTTCTCAGAAATACTAATCTGTTTCACATTTGTTTGCAAGCCATTCCTCTCCATCTGCTTTGTCTTCTCCGTTCCATCTCTGCTCTGTCCTCTGCTTCTCTGACATGTGCTCGATTTGTACTGCGCTGCCTCTTCTACTTGCTTGTGTCCACCAGGTTTGCCTACATGCCCCTCCGTGTACACTGGTCAGGTGCAGACAGATCACTCTCTGTCCTTGGTGAGTTACTAGGATTACAGTTGCTGTGTGGTGTGTACCCAGGGTGACAGAATTGATGGGCTGTAGGCTGACATTCATAAGCCAGAGCTACCAAGCGTTTCAAAAACAGTCTTGTTTTTGCCAAGCAAGGTGAGCAAATATAGGCCAGGGCTTAAACATCCACAGGGGGTTATTTCTGAAGTGATTGCTTCTAAATGAGAAGCATTTGAAACCTCATAGCTCTCTTGACAAGTAAATTCCATAGTCGTGTGTTTTGCTGGTGTCTGCTGATTAATTACAGCGCTGTGACACATGAAAGCCCTGGTGGTTGGTTTAGTGCAGCTGTGGAGAAAAGAAAGCAAGGCCCAGTGACTTTGCCAGCTCTTTCAGGACAGTGGGGGTTGAGGCTGAGGGAAGTATTTTTCCTTCTGGCAGTCACCACATAGGAACAGAAGCCCCAGCCAGCCCAGTTCTCCAGGCTCTATGCCGGGTGGTTTGCTCCCTGCTGGCTGTGGTGAGGGAGCAGCATCTGATCGGTGCTTCTGAGAGAACAGGTCCTTTGTTAGAGAAAGTGTTTCAGTGTTCATCCAGGGGCAGAGCCCACACTCCCATATACTTGTGCTTCAGAAAAAAGTTAGACTAGGCCTGGTGACATACACCTGTAATTCCAGTATTCAGGAGGCAGAAGCAGGAGGATCAACTGGTTCAAGGCCATCCTCAACTACATAAGGAGTTTGAGACCACCTTGGGCTACTTGAGTTCTTATCTAAAAAAGGGTGGAACAGGAGGAGAATCTGGACATGTGACTTCAGCCTCTAGTCCCAGTACTTGGAAGACTGAGGCACAGAGTGGGAGATGGTACCATGAATAAAGTACTTACACTTATCCCAGGAACCCACATAAAGCCAGATGTGGCAGCTTGTGTGTCTATAATCCCAGCAGAGGATAAAAAAGAAAAGGGAAAATACTAAAATAGTTTTTTTTTTTTAAAAAAAAAAAAAAAACTTAATGTGTCCACTGCCACTTTATTTCCTTCATCTTTATCTGCTTACATAGGTGACCGACCAACCAAAGGAATTGTGTGCCATGAGGCTTTCAGCCCAGAGAACCCTTATTCATTCTTCCCCTAAGATTTGTGCTCCTCACAGAGGCACAGTGGATGCCATTGCTGAGGAGAAGCCCACACAGATTTACCCATGGTCTGGATTGCTTGTGTGGTCAGACAGTGCCACCATCATGAATATAAACAGTTGAGAGACATCAGGATCTGCTCTCTCTGCTTTTAATGCTGGTATATAATTGCCATGTAAGTGTCAAAAGTGTACACCACATCTGACTGTTGTCCCTTCTGACTGCTAAGGAAAAGTTTGGAAGATTTGTTATAGACACTACGGCCTGTTTCTGCACAGGCGTGCTGTGCTCTTCCTACCTCATTAGCCCGCACTGTCCTGATGAACCCAGATTTATGTCTAAGCCACATAGACTCACACATAGTTCCTTCCCATGCAGACTTGGAGTTAGTTTCTTGTAAGATTGCTGAAATAAAGGTGATTCTACTTCTCAGCTGAACTCAGCATGTAGGTTGTTTCTACCTAAGAAGCTCTTGAGGCTGAGGATTATGTGGTCACAGTGGTCCTTGGTCTGGGGAATTGTGGGAGCCGTCCAGAGCACGAGTCTGTGTGGCCAGGCCCTGGGCTTTCTCCCGCTGCAGCAACCTCCAGCCTGCAGCTTTCAGCATGCTTCCTTGTGGAGGCAGTCCGTCTCCTCTGAGGACTGTTGGAGGGATCTAAACGGGAGGAGCTGAGTGTGTATGAACAACCCCCTTTCACAGCAGAGGATTGTTCTTTCTCTTTTCTGGTTTAGGTTTTTCATTTGTTACAAGCCTACATTACAGACTCCAGACACAGAACAAATGCAGATTTCCGACAGGAGCTGAGTGACATCACTGTTTGTACCAGAGCCAAACTCTGGCTAGCCATGAGGTATGTAAAAGCCCCATATGAGGAGGCATCATTGGGTTAGTGGTGTGTTCGAGAATTGCTGTTTCTAGTTGTGAGGAATTTTAAGTTGTTCATATTAGTTTCCAAACTTTTTAAGAGTACTTTAGACCTTTGTGTTGTGGTAAAAAAAAAAGTATTTCTTGATAGTTTTTCTAAAATTGCTGAGTGTTGGGGCTAGGGGTTTGATATAGTTCAATAGCCACGTGTTTCTTACCCTCACCAACAACCCAACCCTGTTGGCTGCTCTGCACTGTACAAACCCTTAGGAACCATGGCAGCCTAAAGGTTAAAGATCCTTGGGTGACTTGAAGGCACTGAAGAGAAGGTAGGACTTGCATGGAAAAGGGAACTGAAATTTGCAGTGATTAGGTGGATAGGAGGATTATGTCAGCAAAAGCAGAGGGTGACCTTTTTTCTTTTTCTTTTTTCTTTTCTTTCTTTTTTTCTTCTGTTTTGCCATTCTTACATGTGCTTATTCTGGAACTTAGAATATAAAGGATAAGAGTGATGTAAAGAGTAAAAACAGGCTTCTGTTTTATCATATGTAGAAGACACGCTACACTGTGTTCAAAACTCCAGATATCGGTAGGACAGTGTCTCTTCAAGGCTTCTCTATGAGTTAACTCTGGCAAAGGTAGTTAAGAAGAGGCCAGTTGTGGGCAGTGGTAGTGCATGCCTTTAATCACAACACTCAAGACTGAAGAGGCAGGGAGATCTCTATGAGTTTGAAGCCAGCCTAGTCTGCAAATCGATTCCAGGACAGTCAGGGCTTTGTTATACAGAGAAACTTGTCTTGGGGAAAAAAAAGAAAGAAGAGACCAGTGGTACTTAAGATGGTCTTGTGAAATGATGCCATAACCCTCCAAGAGGCAGAGAAAACTGGGCGGGCCACACTGAAAGAGCCAGAGAGGAGAGCCACTGGTGGCTGTCCACAGTGGTGGGTGTGGTGATAGGGTGTGTAGTGACTGTCTTAAGCCATACTTAACTGTAGGCATGCTTACTGGTTGGGCCCTCTTTGTCTGAAGTGCCACTGAGGTTGTGGCAAGCTGTTAAGTGGTTTCCCTAAGCATGATATTGCTTGTCTTATGTGCAGCCTGTTGCCTTTAACCTCTCTGAGACACACTTCCAGAGAACAGAGACCTGGGATCACATTTGTCTCTTAGTTTTCACCAAGTAATAATAGATCAGGTCTTTTCTTTCAAGCTGTTATTTCTGGGGATCAGGAAATGGAGGCTCTCCAAGAATTGTCTGCTGAAAATCTTTTTTTAGCCATACCCTCACCAAGAGTTAAGCCTTGGTTCTGAAGCTTGTCTAAGGGAGGAGTCTTTATCCCTTTCGCTCAAGCTCACTGGAAGTCATCGCCCACCTACTTCCTCAGTCCATTCCTTCCAATTGCATGAGAAAGAAGAGGGAAGGACAGGCCAGCTCTTGACGGGCTTCAGTTTTGCTCGGCCTGGAGATGGCCGGTGAAGTCTTACTTCTAAGCACCCACTCTTCAGCTGGAGAGGGCCTTCCTACCTGGCAGACATCCCCCATAGTCCCTGTCACTGTTGTCCAGTCAACCTTATCATTGTGATCATCCCTTCCACCAACTTCTGACGTTTTCCTCTGATTTCCTTAGCCTTAGCCTAGAAAATAAAGCCTTGAGTCCTAGGAGCTTCCCTCATGTGGGTTCTACCTCCTTGCTCAGAGTACAGGAAAGTCATGGCTCTGTTTCCTACAGTCAACTCTCTTTTATCCAAGTGTGAACTTTCAAGTCAGTGGGTGGCTTCTAATGCCAGGCCTCCTCTTACTCCTTAATGTACATTTCTACAAGTATTAATCAGGGTGTGTTCAGAGCCTAGAATAGAGTTTGGGAGGAAATCCTGCTACAGAAGCTCAAGATATTCCAGAGCTTTACGGGAGCCATTCTGTATTATCCACGCCATTGAAGGACACTCACAGGCCGAGTTCGAAACCGTAGAACTCCATGTAAGTAATGAAACCATCACCTGTTCTGAGCCTGCCTTGTCTCCAAGGACCTCTTGCTTTGGGAGGTGTTTGTCTACACTGGTCAGCTGCATGCTCAGATGAACCCAGTTAGGGTCATGGTAGTCACCTGTCAAAGCAAATCCTTTCTGACTTTCTTGCCCTGTTTTGCTGTGAAGATGTTACTGTGGGAGTATTCCAGAGTCAACTGCTGGAGAGGCCCCTTTATATTCCTGGGCATTTACATATGGAAGATAAATGTGCCTTGGACTTACTGTAGCCTTCTAGTGTAACCTATGAGAAAGTACTGTGGCTGGGAAAGAAACTGTTGATGTAGGTTCTAGCAGTAACACACTTTTCCTCCTATAGTTTATTCAATCCTTGAGTTCATTCAGTCCAATAAGCTTGAGAATTTTAGGGGATGGGCCATTTATTTGTCCTTTTGTCCAAAAGGTTTCTTTAAAAAAAAATTTTATAGGAGCTACAGGTAATCAACTGATTTTTAAAATTTGAACTCTTAAGTTGAAAGCACACAGACTTTTGTTATACATTTGTGTTTTGGCTTTGTGAGATTAATAAGGACTTACTTATATGAGCTGGGTGAGCAAGGTTGTTGGAGACTTTTATGTGATAAATGGCTGTATGGGAATGCTGTTTGAATAAAGGACGTGGCATTTGCTCTTCCAGGCTGCTTTTCATTCCAGGATGTCAAGAGTCTTATGGAAGTCAGGTCAGCTCATTAATCTTTCCCATCTTCCCTTCTCTCTTTTCTCAGCCTTCCCTTCTCAGTCCAGTTCTCTTTCCCCTTGTGTGAGGGCAGCAGTTACCAGATCCCGGTGGGGAGGAAAGCCTGCCCAGGTTAGGCACCAAGTGAGATCAGAATGAGCCCCATCCTGGAAAGGTTGTCTAGAGTGCCATCTAGTCCCCAAGGATGGCCCTCCTGCTGCTCTTGCTGTCTGCAGGCTGCAGCTCTGCTGTCCTAGCAGTCACAGGCCCTGCCCAAACAGGAAGAACTTTGAAAAGCTCTTTCAAGCAGGACTAAGAGGAAACGACTTATTTACTTTGGGTATGATTTGGGATTGTAATTATATAGGGCTTCAAAATTTTTAGAAGTGGTTTGTTATCTTGTGTTTCCTTCAGCCATAAAAGAGTAAATATGTATTGGATGTTCCTTTTAGAAAACTTGATGATATTAACCATGTGTGTGGGTACACATGTGTTAATCCTACTACTTAGGGGCACAGAGACAAAAGGGCTGATGCCAATTTCAGGCCAGTCTGAGCTACTCATTGAAATGGTTTCGAAAAACAAAACAAAACCCAAAAAGATAAGGACAGCCTGGTGAGCTTTGTGTACTGCTGGACTCAATGGGGCAGGCAATGGGATGGCCAGAGGGAAACGTTTTCTACTGAACTTCTTCCATGATTTTCCTTGGCTATCAGTTCATATCAAGGAAAAATAGTCTAGTACAAATTTGAAAAAGAATATAAAAATGAATTCTACTCTTACCACAGTCCAATGGAAATTATGTTATTGTTAACAATTTTATGTGGTTACCTCATCTTTTTTCCTTTTTTTCTTTTATAGAGCTAAGGTTCTATTAAGTATAAAAGTTATAGCTTCCTTTTTTTACTTTGCAATATGAAAATATTTGCTATTATTTTACTTAAAACTTTATACCTGCTATGGAAAATGATGTCACACTTCCTTAAAAATTGAAAATAGAATCAATATATAGTCCTGCAGTTCTTTTTCTAAGTTCACAGAGAGAAAGAAAGAGAAAGAGAAAGGGAGAAGAAAAGAGAGAGAGAGAGAGAGAGAGAGAGAGAGCGCACGCACAGAGACTTAGATAGTTGTACTAACATGCTCATGCTCATAGCAGCTTTCTTCCTGGTAACTACACCACAGAACAGCAACGTTCATTGCTGACAGTAAAAGAAGCAAAATATGATATATACATATGGTAGTATTAGTCCATCTTTAAAAGAGAAATTCCCATCCCCAGCTAGGGATTGAACCCAGGACTCTGCACATGCTAGGCCGGTGCCCTGCCACAGCTATATCCCCAGCCAGCAAGGGAGATCTGACTTGTGCCACAACATTTAGGTATCCAGAGAGAGAGTTGACTGAGTAGATCATTCATAGACATAGAAAGTAGAGCTGCCATTGATAGCATGTGTCAGAGGGCAGAGCCAAGAGCTGCTGTTCATGGTACAGGGTTTAGCTTTACAGATAGAAGTGCTGGGATTAACGTAGTAACTATATTTAAAACATTTAAAAATAGCAAGTACTCCAAACAAAAATCTCTGTACT